TACTCACACCGTGAGGATCACAGTATGAGGATCGTGTTGACTGGGTTATCTTTTGCTGCACATCAGAAATATATTATTTGATTTTACTTATTGTGATCAACGATTAAGAGAATCTGGCCTTTGTGTTCCTTCATATTTATATTCTTGTGAAAAAGGAGGCCAAGGCTGGATAATTTCATGTTCTTAGTCACACTGGTGTGATAACAAATGCAAACATGAATGGGAATATACTTCTATGTATAATATACTATGAATGGAACATATTTTAATCATAATAATTTCTAGGGGTACCAATAATTTTGGCCATTGTTTGTGTACTAAAGAAAAATGTTTATTTCATAATGTGATTTTGCACCACTTTTTTTACTTCAATTAAAGGTTAGATTTTTTTTTTTTTAATGAAAGATCAAATGTATAAACAATGCAAACTTATTTTCACAGCCTTCTTTGATCATATAGTCGTGGTCAGAATTATTGGCACCCTTGGTAAATATGATCAAAGAAGGCTGTGAAAATAAATCTGCATTGTTAATCATTTTGATCTTTTATTTAAAAAAATACACAAATATCTAACCTTTCATTGAACTAAAACAATTGAAAAGGGGGGAACATCTCATTATGAAATAAATGTTTTTCTCAAATACGCGTTGGACACAATTATTGGCACCCCTAGAAATTCTTATGAGTAAAATATCTGTGAAGTATATTTCTATTCATATTTACAATTTTGAGCTCACCAGGGTGATTATGAACATGAAATTATCCAGCCATGGCTTCCTGTTTCGCAGGAATATAAATAGGAGGGAAAACAAAGGCCAAATTCCCTTAATAATCCATCACAATGAGAAAAACCAAAGAATATATTTCAGATGTGCAGCAAAAGATAATTGAGCTTCACAAATGAAAGTGACTTTAAGAAAAGAGTTAGAGCAGTGAAAATTCCCATTTCCACCATCAGGGCAATAATTAAGAATTTCCAATCAACAGAAAATGTTACAAATCTGCCTGGAAGAGGACGTGTGTCTATATCGTCCTAATGCACGGTGAGGAGGAGAGTTTGAGTGGCTAAAGACTCTCCAAGGACCACAGCTGGAGAATTGCAGAAAATAGTTGAGTCTCAGGGTCAGAAAACCTTAAAAAAAAAAATTCAAACAGCACCTACGCCACATGTTCTTTGGGCGGGTTTCAAAAAAAAAAAAATCAAGAAAAGAAAACACTCTCATCCAAAAACAATCCCCAGCATATTCTGTTATCAGACATGACTGGAACTTCAAATGGGACTGGCTTCTATGGTCAGATGTAACTAAAAAATTTGCTTTTTTAGCAACAAACACTCAAGATGGGTTTGGTGCACACAGGGATAAAAAGTGCCCCATGTGTACAATGAAATATACTGCTGTATTTTTAATGTTGTGGGCCTATATTTCTGCTGGAGGTCCTGGACATCTTGATTAGATACATGGCATCTTTGATTCTATCAAATACCAACAGATAAAAAATCAAAAAGTGACTGACTCTGTTAGAAATCTTATAATGGGCCATGTTTGAATCTTCCAGTCATACAATAATCCAAACACAAACCTTAAAAACAACATAAAAATGGGTCACTGGGCACAAAACCAAGCTTCTGCTATGGCCATTCCAGTTCCCTGACCTGAACCCTATAGAAAATGAGTGTGGTGAACTGAAGAGGAGAAGCACCATCATGGAGCTGGGAATCTGAAGGGTCTGGAGAGATTCTGGATGAAGGAATTGTCTCTGATCTCTTGTCAGGTGCTCTCTAACCTCATCAGGCATTATAGGAGAAAACTCAGAGCTGTTATTATGCCAAATGGAGGTTTCAAAAAGCATTGAATAAAAGGGTGCCGTTAATTGTGTCCAATGTGTATTAGAGAAAAACATTTATGTCATAATGATATTTCCCCCCAATTTAAATTCTTATTCTCCAATGAAAGGTTAGATTTATGTGAATTTTTTAAATAAAAGATCAAAATCATTAACAATGCAGATTTACTTTCACAGCCTTCTTTGATCATATTTACCAAGGGTGCCAATAATTCTGACCATGACTAAGGGTATGAATAATTTTGAGCACAACTGTATTTACCCATCGCAATATAAACAATATAGCAAAATCTCTATTGACTGACACTTCTCATCATAGCACTCAGCCTTAGTCCTCCTGATCTATGTTTATCCTTCTCCATGTTTGTGTCTCTCATGCAGGACTGCTGTACATAAAACTGAGCTAACCATGTCGATAAATATTTGAAGAATATTTTTTTTTGTTGTTGTTTGTTTTTCAAATAGAGATCACGATTCTCCCATAATTCTGAACTAAACAAAATGTGTAATTTACAAGAGGCTGCAACAAAAAATTAACTTCTATTTAAAAATGTTTAATTAATCTGAATGAATTATTTTTAAAAGATTGTTTGAATGAAAGATTCAATGGCTCGCTCATAATTACTTCACTTGTTTCATTACTGGATGAATCAGCAGTTTTGAATCTCTTGAATTAATGATTCGATGACAAATAAATTTAACATTCACTTGTCGTCACCTAGTGGCGCAACGATTTCATCGACACAAACATTATTTGAAGGGCCAATTACTTTCAAAAGGTGATTTGCTCTATTTTAAATGGTATACCACAGACATCAGTATTTTTTCCCTAACTATATACTTTTATCCCATTACTTAGGTGATAATATGAATGATTGTAAGACAGAAATTAAACTGTGTGGTTAAAAAAAAAAGAAAAAAGTCTGTTCCATACCTAAACATGATAACTGCTCTCTCTGTCAGCGGCAGCGCGAATGCAGATTTGAATGTTGTGGCCGGTTACAGAAAAGGTTTAGTCTAGTCTTACAAGTAAATGTTTTTTTCTTGAAGACTGGTGTTTTTTTTTATAAATTCAGTTACATAAAAGCATAGATTAGACTAAGTTGAATTCAAAAATAATAATGATTACCCTTTGGATAACTGCTAGTTGATGAAACTCATACTTAAAGGGATAGTTCACCCAAAAATGAAAATTTGATGTTTATCTGCTTACCCCCAGGGCATCCAAGATGTAGGTGACTTTGTTTCTTCAGTAGAACACAAACGAAGACTCTATCTCTCAAATGGACCATTGACACTCTATCTAAAATCTCAATTTGGCGTGTAAATTTGGTTTTGTTTGTGTATGTTTTTTTTTACTCTCAAAGCCGTGATTCCCATTCACTTCCATTATAAGACTGACAGACTGCAATGGTTTGAGTTAAAAATCTTCGTTTGTGTTCTACTGAAGAAACAAAGTCACCTACATCTTGGATGCCCTGGGGGTAAGCAGATAAACATCAAATTTTCATTTTTGGGTGAACTATCCCTTTAAGACCCTGTCTTAACAGAGGCTAAGTTTATGCAACTGGCCCCACTGATATGACTTTGTCAAAGGTGAATTTTAGAAACAGGAGAATCGTTGTCATTTAGAAATAAGATTGTGTGGGTGTTTGAATTGAGATCACGATCTTGTAACGATTAATCATGCAGCTCTATTATATACACACACAAAAAATTAAAATCTGTTGCAACTGACATTTTATATTGGTGCAATGGTACATATTTTGCCATATCACCCAGCCCTAATTTGCCAAGTCAATAAAGTGGGGTCCAGAAAAAATGACTGACAACTGGTAGATAAACTATTAGCACCATTTCAAACCTAAAACTATGAAATCTGTAAACTGGCTTATGAGATATCCGCATTAACCATGATTGCCAGGTTGGACACAGATTTTGAATGCATGGTTAAAAAAAGCCACAAACATCTCAAAATCAATGGAATTTTGGTAGGAAAACTAAGGAAGTTGTCATTCTTCAATAATAAGTTGAAGGGTGCCATACTTTGCGTGCACCTTCAGAACTTAAGATCTTCTGCAGTACTGCACAAAAGCCAACCACAATGACATACATTTGTTCATGGAAATTTGCTGTTAGAACAAAGATCAGCAGGGCTCCTTTCAAAGATAGAGGTGAAAGAGGAAAGCAATTTTTGTGAAGATTAAATATGAAGCTTCAACAGGGACTTGTGATTGCCTCACAGACAAAGCAAATGTCATGCAGACGATATCTAGCATGCTAAAAAGGCAACAGAGGCAACAAGGGTCATATGCATGACAATGTGCAGGAATGCTCAGCAAAGCAGAAAGGAACTGCAGAGTGAGCGTAACACGGCATAGTTAGAAAATGTCAGTCAAATGAACAAAAGCAATGCAGAAAGTTGCAGCAGCGCACTGGGTAAGAGATGACTTGTACCCGTATGAATGAGGCTGTGTCGCTGAAGGTGGTATCTTTGGAAAAATCTCATGTCACACATGGTGCAAGCATATGGTTTGACCCCTAAACGCAGAACAAAATAGCAATAAACTTTATAGTCTTCAAATTGTATTTCTGCACAACATCATATGACCGCTTATTCAAAAGTACAGTAATTCTGCTAACTAGTACTTCTACTAACTAGTACTGCTAACAGAAGCCTGTTTAAATGGATTTATATTTACATTTATCTAAAAGTTATTCTAACAATTTCAAATAAGTCTAAAAGCCTAATACTAGTATTCTTAACATCATTTCAAATTAACTTTTTTTTTTGGAGAGTGTAACTTTCTAATTGCTCAAATGCTTAAAGAGAGAGAGAGAGAGAGAGAGAGAGAAAGATAAAACATGGTGTGAATAGCTTTGGTGCAAAAAAATATTTGCAAGTATTTTAGCCTTGTGTCATTCTACTTGGTGTGAAGAGACCTTAAAAAAATAAAATAATAATAATAAAGGTTTTTGTTCTGTGTAGACGCACTATGATCTGTAACTCTGTTTATAAGTATCTATTTTTAGGTTTATATAATTAAAAGACTAATGAGAGCACCTTTTTTACCATACATCAAAGACAGCATCTAAAAAACAGTAATGAAAAAATATATATATTGATATTATAGCTGTATGTAAATAAAGATGTTGCTTGTGTCATAAAATTTTGCAATTACATTTTAAAAGAGTGCTATAGTGTAAAAAAGTAAATATTGAAGAAATGTTTTAGAAATAATATCCAATGTAACGACACATACCAGTATGAGTGAGGCTGTGCCTCTCCAAGTGGTAACGTTGGAAAAACCGCATGTCACACATGGAACAAGCATACGGCTTCACCCCTAAATGCACAGAGTGGCAAATTCAATGATCGTCTACACAGAATCTAAACCTTGCTCAACTGTCCTCATAACAAATATAAAGCTTTATACACCCACAAGGGTTTAGCTGATTCAAGATACAGTACATGATTTTTGCTTTAGTGCCTACTATGCAAACAATTAGTTTGGATTCAAGCAGTGTTCATGAAATTTGTTTGATAAAATGTGTCTGATCACCACTGGGAAACCAGTCTGAAGGCATTAAATTGACATTTAACTAAGCTGCAAATAATTAAACGTACAGGCAGAAGACTTGACATAAAACCTGCACTACAGAACTTTGGCCTATCTATTGCCATCTGTGGCTGCAATATAAAATTACACACCACTTGTGGAGCAGTTATTGTCTCTTATGATCATCATATCAGAGCAGCTCTAAAGCTTCACCTGACTCACCTGACAGCTCAGTTTGAATTAATATTAAATGCTTATTGGAGTGAATCAGGGTAAGGCAAGAACATGAATTTCAAAACTTGTTCTGGTATTTGGACATTTGGATTTTAAATCATACAAGCCCAATAATTCATCACTCACATACAAATAAATTATATCTTACTCCTAAAAGCACATTATTTATAGAGATGCACCGATTGCAATTTTCTTGGCCGATTCCTATTTCCGATTTTTTGTTAGTGTGATCTGCCGATACCGATTTTTGCCGATACCGATTTTCTTTCTAAGAACTATAATTGACTGCATATACAAACAAAAATCTACTTTTCTTCAACACGGTTTTATTTTCATTAAAAGAAAAAACACAAGTAAAAAGTCAGTAATAAAATAAGAACAAATAAAAAAATTGCAAACAACAGCACAAATAAATGCAATAGAATAAAGAGAGCTATGAAACTAAGTTTTTCAGGTTAAGTAAGTTTTTATTCAGGTAAGAAATACTACAGAAATTAAAGTAATCAAATGTAAAATAACACTGGATGTGTTATTTTACATCTGATTACTTTAATTTCTGTAGTATTTCTTACCTGAACACTTATCAAATGACAAATGTGAAGGTACCATTTACTATTTAAAATCAAAATGCACAGGAACAAGTCGTACCAGTATGAGTGAGGCTGTGTCGCTCCAAGTGGTAGCGCTGAATAAATCTCATGTCACACACGGCACAAGCAAACGGCTTTTCTCCTGTGATAAAGGCAGACATTTGAGTGAAAAACAGTGAAACACACCAACATATCATCCCAATCTAACATGATAAATATATGTGTGAATAAAAAGTGGATCATTTTTGCAACGTATAGAATTTTAGCACATATATTAATGTGCTGTATAGTATATTAATAGCATATACTGTATGTACACCTCTTTACAAGAGTCAATACAGCTGTAATATTCATACCAGTATGAATGAGAATGTGTCTCTTCAGGTGGTATCCACTCCTGAAGGCCCCGTAGCAGTGATCACAGATAAAGTTCTTCTGGACTTTTGAAAGTGGACAATTTCCATTTTCATCCACAACCACCTACCAGGAAAATGAATGGAAGACATTTTAATCGCACTGATCGCACTTTTCAATGGACTGGAATTTGCAATGTTCAAAAAGGAAACAGAAGAACCACAGAATTATCAAAAAAATTATCCATAAACTATATTCCAGATCTTCTGAAGCTACAAAACAGCTTTGTGTGAGGAACAGGCTGAAATGTACTCACTCCCAATCTTAAAGGGTTAGTTCACCCAAAAATGAAAATTAGCTCATAAATTACTCATCCTCAAGTCATCCTAGGTGTATATGACTTTCTTCTTTCAGACGAATCCAGTCTGAGTTATATTAAAAATGGTCTTTGATCTTTCAAACTGTTTCATGGCACTCAGCGGGTGTTGCATGTATCCGTCCAAAAGCAGTTAAAGATCAAAGAAATCGCAATATGTTTTTTTTGTCCATATCGCACAGCCCTACTTGAGAGCGAGTAATTTATGGGCTAATTTTCATTTTTGGGTGAACTAACCCTTTAAATAGGTCACAACTTTGAATACAATGTTCCTTTTTAAAAAAAGGTAACTTTTTTTGCATCCCTACTACTATTGCATGATTATTCCGTAAGAATCTATATCACTGAGAGTTTATTATACATCTTATTTTTCAGTTTTAAATACATCATAGGCACGCATCACAAAACCACGTATTCCAGTTAGAAAATAAAAAATCAGTTAAAAAGTCACCCACAAGAGAAATCAAGTCACAGAACAGCAGCAAATATCACTGCATGTCAACTATGTAACATTGCTTTTTGAATGTCTTTTTTGCGTACTACTCAATGCTGAGTAATGCACAGTATCATTCTAATGGTCTAGGTCATTCTAATGCTGTATAACTTTCTTTATTGAACAGACAGAGAAGAACAACACATTTTATGAAAGCCAGAGGGGATCCAAAACAAAACTGGACCACATTAACTTTTATTATATAAGAAACACACACACTCTTAAGGTCCGTTCACACCAAGGACGATAACTATAAAGATAACGATAAAGATATAGCTCCTTCCGCAGAAGCTACAGACACACAAACACATAAATCACAAGTGTTTGTAAACCTACAACACCGCCTCTGCGTTTTAATATAACACTATAAAATAAACACATTTTTGAAATAATCTTTTACCAACAAAGTGAATGAATGCATCTAAGTTTTTATTTTGTGCCAATAATTACAGGCTTATATGTAGAGGTCAAGTTTTTTAATAACAGAAGGCAATACCAATAACTGGGTAGTTGATACAACATTTTAGCTTTTGAACCTATATCCTATCTGGGTGCTATAACTGATCAGCATTTCTTTCTATTTCTAACCTGAATTTTGCCTTTACCAGTTCATTTTAAATGGCCCTTCTGTGCGAGAAGAGTAAAAACGTACAATATTCAATGTAGTATTTTAAACAATATGAGATTATTAAAGACCTATGTGTAATTATTAACAAAATAAAGATCAAATAATTAGCAAAATGCTAGATTCAGATGAAATATAGAGTGTCACATTGTAGGACATGTCCAACATTACTGAATTTAAATGTTTACTTATTTTACACACTTTTTAAACAAAATCACTGCTTAAAAACAGAAAATCATGCATTATACACTGCCAAATCAGAATCACTACACTACATTCACATTTATTCATTTAGCAGAAGCTTTCATCCAAAGCAACCTACAAATTAGGACAATAAAAGAGGACAACAAGAGCAGTTCTGTAATATGTAAAGATGTCTCTTTGGCGTTTCTCAAAAATTAGTTATGTTTACGAGTTTTTTCAGATGGCACAAATAACCAATTTAACCAAAATGACTAATTTGCAACTCTAATCACAAATCTATTTTTTGTAAGTGTGACCTGCCGATACCGATTTTCTTTCTTAAGAGCTATAATTGACAGCATATACAAACAAAAATCTATACTTTTTTTTTCCAATGCAAAAAATATTTACATAATTAAAGAAATGATTAAACATTACAATTCCCCCAGTCAAAAGTTACAGATGTCCTCTCAATTAAACAACTCTCAAAATAAAGTGCTCTGTGACTAGAAAGAGGTAGAAATAATTAACTGAAAATGAGCTGCTGTATATAACGAAACAGATGTCATTTCCCACTATGTATATAAATGGTCATTTTTTTTCCCCTAACTATATTAAATGTGTCATCTTTCACTTCAAATTCGTACATTGTTTCAAAAAATTCAGTTCAGCATTTGAAGAAGCATTATATATATTTACACAGACTGTTTGATGAAGCTGAGGTGACGTAAAAGCATTTACACAGCAACATTTCAAATGCATAAATAATTTTATAAGATAAATGTTTTAAAGTCAATGTTTTTTGAACATACAAATAAGAAATGTTGCGAAAAATGCTATGATGCTTTTAAATATGACACCAAACCACCAGTAGGTGGAGACAAATAACTGTTTTAATGAATGAGTCATTTAGTCATTCATTCAACCGATTCGTTCAAAAGGCTGATTCATTCAGAAATGAGGCAAGTGACTGTCTTTATGAATGGGCCACTAAATCATTGACTAACTCGATTTGTAAAAAAAAAACGTGGATTCATTCAGTAACGAAACACCGCTGCGTTGCTCTGAGACAACAGTACTGATGTGGCTTTGATTGGAACTATTTTCATCAGTGAAATTGAGCAAAAACAGTCAATATTGTGTCTAAAATGTAAGTCAGTTAATTTGAACTTCTTGTTTATTGAACTACTATTGTATAAAATCAATGTTGCAATCGTGTTAATATTCGGGGAAACATCTTGGTTGTGTAATGTTGCTTATCTATATCATATATTATAAGTAAATTTTTTACTGGAGTATGCAACTTTCTGTGCGTGCTGTTGCACTCATTTGTTATGATTTCTGCATGAGTCTCTCTCGTTCACATCAGACAGGCTTTTCAAGCCTCATCTGGCAGGACAATTTAAAACTAGAATCAGAATCATTCTAGTGCGAAAGTTATTGGTGGCCAAGTTTCAGTCCTTCCCTGTTTTTTTTTGTTTTAATTGATGTTTTAATCAGGCTAATTGTCTGGTCAGGCAAGTAAAATTCTCTCTCACTTGCCCTTTAAAAAATCAACTTGTCCCAGACGAGCGTTAATCGAGCCCTGTGGTTCCCCCATGGTTTACTGTGGCCCTATACGTATTACAAATTGCGAACTTTGTGTCTTCTTCATTCACAGTGAATGAAATTCTATGCCAATTAACGCGTGGATGTGAATATAACGTCAAAATGGAAATGCGGAAAATTGGCTAATTCCGGTCCCTGGTCGATCAGTGCATCTCTGAAATCTAGACCAATTATAGGTTTGTAAACATTCAGGATGCGCGTGCATCATGGTTGCAGAAAACCCGGGAGAGATAGCCTTTACGGGTAGAGAATTTCACGGATAGGGTACAAAATAGTTAGGTTTAAAAAGATTATAAATTGTATTGATTAGATGTCATTGTCAAAATGTTCTCCGCATATTACAAGAGCTTGTCACCCAGCGATAAGCACTGTTATTCAACGAAATTGACGTTAGAGAGTGCGATAGTCTTACAGAGCCGAAACAGGGATGACGTTTTTTTGTGGGCGGAGCCTATCTGGAGGCAGAAAATGACGGTTTTCAAGTGGCAGTCTATG